TCAGCTGAATGTGCCTGTATCCTAATATTAATGTTCACACTCAGATACATATCGATCATTAAAATATAACATTCCGTTCTACTACTAACACTTGGGAAAACATGGAATGATCAACAGATGTTTATGTTGTCATAAATGATTTCATTATCTTGTGTATTTACCATAAACGACAGTTATGATTTTGAAGAGAAAACTATCGCTTAGCTCTGTCTTATTAATTTATCTATCAGTCACAATTTAATGAATGCAACTAATGATATGCTGATTATTTTTAACATTTACTTCTCATAGTCTAATTTAGGTAGTATTATTTGAATTTTATTAAATAAATCTGGGATTACATTCGAATGATTAATCGATCAGTAGTATATTGTTTTAGTTTTAAATAATCTGACCCAATTCAGACTCATTTAAGGACCATGATATATATACCCAAAGGATATAGGTTTGTATACTAGTTGAGTCGTGGACACATACTACTTTCATTTGTAGATAGTGGAGAAGATTTGTGGCTCAGGTGGATGATTTTGGTGGAGTTTGTGCTGATGATGTCGTTCGGAAGACTAATGGGAGTTCAACGACCAAACCATTCAGTTCAAAAAACAAAACTCCACCAAAACTTCCGTTTGTGGTTTAGTACAGAATCAAGCAGGCAAAGACATACTTCCATAAGAATTAGAACGATTAAATAAATCAGAAAACAATAACCTAAGCTATATGGTATAACGATTGATCGGTTATAATTACATTTCAAGGTAATATTAGAATAACAGGATGTCAGTCACTGGCTGAATCACTCTATGACCATGTCTCTGTCTGTGGGGTTGTATGCCATAAGTTCGCATCTCGCGAAAAATCAGCAGACCTTTCACAATTCTTTCTATACATTCTAGAGGAGTTCAGACTAGCAAACAGAACTAGACTCAGGATTTGCTACTTATCGCTTCTAAATGTCAAGTTTCTTAGCAATAAATCCTTTAGTATTATTGACAAATCACAGTTTTGAATCCTATCTCATCATAAATTTTGTGATTTTTGTAAATCCTGAACATCACTGATCATTGTTTATCTGAATATATTGAATTTCTTAACGAAATGGTTCAGTTAGCTATCTGTTCTGCTAATGATCTATAAATCCAGTCACTTAGACTAAATCGAACTGAAAAATCTCTTGTAACACTTTAATATCACATTTTCAAGACAATTAATCAACCTTTTTTGAACAATCCAAATATTGGATATGACCTAGCTCATGAAGAGTTCTATTCTTTGAAATAATTTCCATAAAAATACGTATCACTATAAACTTTAAAATTCATTTCATTAATACTTAAAATATATAAACTGATAGATAAAAACTTTCGTCTAAATTCGATCGAATAGTTTCACAGTATTTGGGTTCTGAGTTGATATGACACATTAAAAAGGAAGAATGTTTTTGTAAAACCTCAGCGAATGAATTTGAAGTAAATCCAACGTTTCGCCTGGTAATCTCGTCCAAGCTTTTTCAAGGAAATATAATTTTGGTATTTGATTATATTTCCTTGAAAAAGCTTGGACGAGATTACCAGGCGAAACCTTGGATTTACTTCAAATTCATTCGCTGAGGTTTTAAAACTACATTCTTTCTCTTAAATATAAACTAATAGGTTTATAGGAACGTTCTTAAAACTGATGAGGTTAGCGTATGTGATAATTTCCTGACAAAGAACGAAATAACAAAGTTATATATATATATATATATATATATATATATATATATATATATATATATATATATATATGGATAGATAGATAGACCAGTCAGACAGTCGGTCAGTCAGTAAGTCAAAACGTAGGATCAAGTACATATGTGCATCGGTCCAAGTTGCCATACCGCATTAACACAACAAGATGGACACCAGATTCATAAAAGTAGTTAATTCAGTGGTGGTGATATATAAAAAAAGATTGCAATAAGGATATAGTACAGAAAAAAAGAATTAGTTCATAGGAAGAAAGATATGAAGTGATTTTATTCTCATAGTTTAAAGGAAGACAGAGAGTGTATACACCTACGCAATTGTGATAGATTCTGAGCCATGTTACACACCGTCTCCAACCATTGGTTACGATAGTCACGCGGACCTCAACAAAGTAGTCTGCATCTACCAACATGACTCAGACAAGGAGTTAGTGACTTCAAACACTGATACCACATTTCGGTTTGGCCGCCCCTAACATTCTTTTTTCCTGTACTATATCCTTATTGCAATCTTTTTTTATATATTACCACCACTGCATTAACTATTTTTATGAATCCGGTGTCCATCTTGTTGTGTTAATGCGGTATGGCAACTTGGACCGATGCACATATGTACTTGATCCTACGTTGTAGCTGATTGACTGACTGACTCGTACACAGTTCACGAGAGCTGAATGTTTCATTATATGATTTATCACTATTTTCTTGATTTAAATCATCATTTTGACTTGGAAATTTTTCATATTAATAATTTTATATTAATTTCAGTGCTTTGTTGTTACATCAGTGAGCTAATCGGAAGGGAACCCCAATACTCCTAAGTTTCATATTAATTAATATTTATCTGCAAAGAATACCTAAAGTCCTAAATAAACGTAACATCGATTGCTTATCAATGAATAATCATCGTAAATAGTAACCTCATTAATGATATTCTCTCTCCCCCTCCCGAAACACTTTATATCATCTATCACGAAACATTTAACAGAATTTTTTAACAGTTCGTAAAACAATTCACTAGATAATTGCAACTTAATCATAAGGTTAATGAATTATTAGTTTTTATCATAACTTTGAAAGTGATTAGCAGTAAAATCCAGGACATTCATCTAGTCCCGTTTGCGATTCGTCAACTGAATTTCCCCTAGTCATAATCCCTATTTTCCTTACCTATATTTTAACTAGACATTTCAACCCTCAATATCTATAATGGAACGTGCAAACGCTAAACTGTGGAAAAGAATGCAGATCAGCATTATTATAGAACTCCTTCAGCAAGTTTATTAATTATTGTATAAGATTAATAAAAAATTTAACTCTGTAGTTTGACTAGAATGAGAGCAATAATTGAAATAAAACACTATGACGTTTTCATAGAATTGATGGAATGTCAACAGTAAAATCCAGGATGTGTGTTTCGTCCTACATTGGACTCATCAGCTAGGTGTATTAGCAGCTCAGAATTGGTATTCATTTCAAATCACAAGAAATTAAATTGAAACTTTCTTAGCATTCATTAATATTTGTCAACTGCTTACAATCATAGTCAAATGTGAGAAAATCTATAGTTCAGATTACAAAAAGAAATGGCACAATTTTCAATCATTAAAACGAATGATTGTTATTACTTAATTTAATAAAGATTATCAATGAATTTATCTATATGATTAAGATAATAAGAAAAACTTGATAGGAAACATAAAGAGAGAGATGAGATCAACTATCTACAACACGGAAATTAATGGTATCAATTAAATTAAATTTGTCAAAGAGTTCTGAAGGATTTATTTAACTTAAAGAAGAGTTCAAATGAAATCATAAATTGACTTGGTATTGTTTGGCTTGTATCTTCCCACTGAGATTTAAGACTGCAATTGATCAGTCTGTTATTGGCACATGAGCATACTGTGCGTATGCCTCGATATTGCTTTAATTCACAAGCTTCTTGTAAGCAATAATGGATAGTGGCAAACAGTGGAATCCAGGACGCGCGTTTCCTCCTATTTTGGACTCGTCAGCTGGATGTACCTGCATCTCAGAGTTGATGTTCACTCTGGGACTCGAACTTAGTGACATTCACTTCAAACGCCATATATATATGTACATATGCCAATAACAGACTGATCAATTGCAGTCTTAAACCTCAATGAGAAGATACAAGCCAAACAACACCAAGTGGATTTAAATTCACCCCATCGCACAAGCAAGTGGCTATAAGGACTCAGTAGCTGAATGGATAACGCGATGGCGTTTGAAGCGAATGGTACTGGCTTCGAGTCCCAGAGTGAACATCAACTCTGCGATACAAGTACATCCAGCTGACGAGTCTTAAACAGGACGAAACGCGCGTCCTGGATCCCACTGCTAGCCACTATCCATCATTGCTTACAGAAATCATAGATTGTTAATACAAGACTAACTAGGAAGATAAATGAGAGTTTCTTAAATTGTCATGAAAATAAAGGACTATCAACTGCTTCCAGTTTGAATAAATAGTTTCGATTCGATTTATTTTATGATACCAAAGATTTGCAACTAATTTTGTTCCTTAGTTATCTTTAAACATCTTAAAATTTTTATTAAATATGGCTGAGTTCATCACAGTTTCTCCATTGTTCAATAAGTGTGTTTGGTAGTTTTTCCATGAATTTGGTGAATGAGTCCTGAATATTGGAGTGTAATATTTATCAAAGACTTTACTTCATCTGTTTGATGATAGCTTCAGTTGTCTGCTATGAACATTTTAGTGTAGCCCAATGTAACACACCAGGTGAGAAATACGAATATATATTGACATTCTATGCTTGAAAAAGAATCTCCAACGAAGATTACGCAAAAATGTACAGTACATAACCACTAAATGAACGAAAAAATAGCCGAAAGTCCTGGATCTAATACATTCATTGAACATTGGGAAGATCGCTCATAAATTCATCCATAAATATGGTCACTAATATTTTATTGAATATGTTACTGAATTCATCATAGTTTATATCGTAGACTAAAACTAGATAGACAATCACTGAAAACTTTGGGACATTGAACAGCTACTTCGTTTTAGTGTAGGATTCCTTAATAGGGCGCACTTATAACCTTATCGATTGTCATTGTATTTATATAAATGTATCTATCACATTGTTTGCTATTCACAGTAATGAAATAATGTTAAAAATCAATAACGACATAAAGAAATTCAAATATATCAATTAATCAATAAAAACAAACAAATGATCGATTATAATTTATATTTACTTACTGGACAATAATCAGATGTACTATGTGATGTAGCTGGACGTCGATTACCAGCTGAACTGAGTGATATCATATAATAATGTGATATAAGGTATTATTATTAATGATTGTAATAAAAATAGTAGTAGTACTAATAGCCCAGACAAGAATAATAATAAGAATAATCCTAATTGTTATTGAATATCACAGAAGATATTAGAAAAATACAATCATAGCTTCAGTGAAATTATATTGTTTAATATACATCATAATCAGTAGAGGAACGGATAATCTCACGCAATAAAATGCCAATGATAGTAATAATAATGTTTAATTCTTATAGGATCGTAAACCATCCGTAAATGGAAATTATATTTCGTTCAATTGATCATTGAATCATCTTTTCTTTATGCTTTAACTTGTACATAAGTATTATGTATTATTATGACTATAACTTATGTCTATTGTTTATTTATCTTGTCTATGTTATTGAATAACTATGACTGACTAATCCAATTCATAGATGACAAATTTTAAGGTGTTCCCAATTTCTTCAAGTATACTTTTCTTACCTGTCTCTCTTCCCCACTAAAAAGATAACTTTATTTACACTAAATTATGTAGGTCTTTTCCATTGGATTTCCAATTTATAACTCATTCAATTAACCAATAGAACTGAATACATTTCTCTTTTGGTTACTATAACAACAGATTAACATTATATTTGTTATGTTTCATTTCAGAAATTTTTTTTCACTTCCTAAAACTAATAAAATACATTTGCATAGACTTGACAGAATGATAATTTTGATACTGACCGGTTAAAATAAACCTTATGAAATAAAGAAACGAGAAGAATTTTACTTAAGTAATGAAAATGGGAAGTTATATATGTGCATATATGGTCAATTTATACACCTGTACACAGGTAGTTAGAAAATTTCATTACTCCAACATAAACAGAGCAAACTGATAATGAAACCAAATGAATCGATTAATAATAGTAGACACCATGTACCGACTGACTAGTTGAAGGTACTCAAAATTTCTGAGGGAGAAGGAAGAGTAGGGGGATGTGGATGAATTGTAGAAATGGTGAAATTTCTTTATTATTTTTTTTATTTTATTGATTACCATGACGACTATGCAATATATTACTTAAAGTATTTTCCTGTTTTTTGCTATTCCATCTTCTATTCTATCCCTTAATGTAGGCAAATGCGTATGATATAAATAATTAGAAATTTATAGATCAAAATGATATGTAGATTTTTTTTACTGAAGTTGATATGAAAATGAAGACTACAGAGATGTCACCATAGTGAATGGGTTGACGGAATATATATATATCCAAACAAGAAAATAATCTCGAAAAGAATTTAACGGAGAGAATTTTCTTTTCAACGAAATCATTTACTGAAGTTACACATTCGTATTTATAGTTTTCTGATAAATATATGAACATGGGGGTTTATGGATATTGTAGTAATTTTTCTAATAGTTGAATTCATGAGTCGATTTAAGCTGAACCACCATTAAAATCCTGGAAGCACTGAATTGTCGTTTCGTCCTAATATGAGAAGTCGGGATCAGCAGAGTCCAATCTTTGTCAGGTAGAGGTAGGCATCTACCTCAGACAATGGATAAATGGTTGCACAAGATTATGGATCGATTGAAGTTAGACATTAACACCGTTGGATACCGACTCAGTCGTCTAGAGGTTAAACGTCTGCACGCAAGACCGGAGGTCCTGGGTCCGAGTCCCACATGCGCGATCGTGGATGAGCACTGCTGAGGAGTCCCATACCAGAGCAAAACGGCCGTCTAATTCTCCTACGTTTTCAATAATGGTCTAGCTTAGATCAACTTATGAATTAGACCACTAAATAAATATATGTCTATGGAGAGATAAAAAGATAGGGGAATGAAAATAAGTTTCAGGTTGGGAATACAAATGATAATTGTCAACTTGACATATGCGAACAAGAGTGTGAAACACAAAGTTAATAATAACAATTCAATAATAATCACTATTGGATTGTGGAGATTGTTGACTATTCATTGAGATTATGAACCGTTCAATGTTGGACCGCCAATGAAAATCTGAAAGCACTGGATAGCTGTTTTATCCTAACATGAGACTCCTCAACAGTGAGCATTTACTAACCCGCGTATATAACTCAAACATATGCTATTCGATCTCGTGCAAACGTTTAATCCCTAGACCAGCATCCAACAGTGTTAGTATCTAACTACAATCAATCTAAATATTGATCTCAATCGGGGAAATAAACATGAAAAATTTTTAAGGGATAGACATATATCTACGAAATAACTATGACTATAAATATACAGCTGAAGTAAATGTTTTCGTCGTGAAGAAAACTTTCTTTATTGAATTCTCTTTACAATTGATTACTTGAATTATCTACATCTAAGTAAACAACATTTTTCAATATTTGCATAAAATGTTAACTTAGTTTCTTTATTTAAAAAAAGGTATCTTTTTCAGTAATGTACAATTTAGCCCATGTTTAATCGGAATTAGCCATTAGGTTGCCAAGTTACTGTAGCTAGAATCAATTAGTCATGTGTTGTTGTTGTTGTGTTTTTTTTTATTTACTGTTACTAATAGTTACATAAACGTTTAATTCTAAACGTTTGCTAACATGAAATAAATATACATTTTCCTGGTTAAATTGTATGAGTCAACAATGAAATGAGGTAACACGTTGATGTATAGGCTAAAATCGTTGGTTAAATGATTCCTTTCAAATTAACGGCTGATTGATTAGTTGACATTGATTATCAGATGAATATTTATTGCGAATATTGGTTTCTAATGTTGCGTGATATTAGTAGGCTGATAATTAGATGAAAGTATATGATAGATATGAGACGATCAAGATCACTAAAATTGCTTTCGAGCTTATGAGCTAGATTTAATAATGAATGACTTTTAACTTATATCATCTAAAATGAGTAGTAGATATACTTTTGTATAGTGTACAGAAAGTTTAAAATAACAATGAAAAATTGTTTGTTACTATCAGAGGGTAGAAAGTTTAGTGTTGATCTTATCATATGGTCAATTCTTCCAGTTGTAGATTGCGTATAACACATAAATTAGTCCTATCTCTAAATCCTAATCTTAAATGTCTATGTCTAAATGTCATAATCTTAACTCGTACCAAAAATAATGCGATGATTCCTAAAAATCTATTTAGGTAATTATAGGAGTTTGAGAGGATCAATTATTTATTTCCATATGGACGAATTGTAGTGATTTTGTGATTTACTGACAGAACAATCTATTACAGACTATAATAGCTTCATTAATTATATAAAATATATTCACCCTTCCTAATATTATTACCTATTTTCTATTGAATGTTTATTGACAAGAGCTGTTTTTAAGTGGCCAACAACTGGCCAAAATTCATTACTGTTGTTCTAAGCTTATTCATAAACAAAACCCTTACTAAATGCATTAGCATGAATAAATTCTCATTTAAATTAACAATATTACGTAACTACATTTTTGCAAAAACGAAGATGGTAAAACTATTGATCAACTTCTCATGACCACTAAAATATAACAGGATTCTTTACTTCTGTTGAGGAACACCTTTAACTTATACTGACTCTATATTGATTGGCTGGAAAGCTACTTTAGAATCATTTTAAGGATCGCTGAAGCTCATTTCCCATACCGTACTGTAATCAGCAATCAACATTAATCTGTCATAAAAATCCATATTTAACTAATACAAGTTACTTAACCTATTTAGTAGAGTCCTTTTTTCACTACTGATTATGGCTTCGAGATAGACTTTTCGAATTTTTAGTGAAGTTGTGTAAAACCAGTAACATCAAGAGTTAAACTAAAACTCATTGATAATATTATGTGATCCTTGTGTTATTCACTGAAGTTGTTAAATATATTCGATAGAATTTTGTCTTTGAGACTCTATGATATCATACTCTTCACTAAACTTGAGAGCTTCGATTTTGATCACATATGGGTTCTTCTGTAAAATCTGCGGAAGATTTTTTGTAGATCCTTTGTTAGGTGGTCAATACAGTGAAAATCTTTATCAAAACCAGTCAGATCAATTAAATAATCAATTTATACAGAATTGTCCCATATTAGTGAACAAATCTAGCCATTAATATCATTTACGATTTTAAGTTAAAGTTTACTTGTAACATGATTTTAGTTTGTATGTTTAGTCAGAGTGATGATGTTTGTGATTGGAGTAATGGTGAGACTTTAATTTATGGACGACCGTTGATCGAAGCTAAAATGACCTTCAGAATATCCACCTACTAACGAGAACTAAATGATGGTTATAAATCAAAATAAGGAATTAGGATTATGATTTACAGTTGATGGTTAAGGTTAGGAATTAGATTTAAGGTTTTCATCACGAACGGACATCAGCTATAATGTCAAAACTTTATTTAGCGCCAAACGGATGAATGAATTTCGCGGCGAAATTCAAAACCTGTTATCCTAAATCTGATAGGTTCGTCTATAAATTACAGTCTCTCCGAAGTAGTTTTTTTGATTGAAAAATTGGGAAAAGTTTAGTTTATACGCTGATTAACAAAAATGTTTAATAATATCTAGTACTAAAAATAGAGTTTATCGACTTTTACAAGAAACAGTCAACGAGTCCAGTGATTATTTTAAAAATATTTCATTAACAATCTAAGTAGAAATTATAAATATTTTTGTTACCAGTGAAATTTGTCTAGTTAGATACAAACAGGAAATGGGTGGTAAGAAATAATAAATATGGTGTTACCTGTTATCTTATTGACTTATTAATAATAATATCCGTTATTACAAAAAAATGTAAAAGTCTGGTAAAAACGAACAATGACTTAAACTGCCATACCACATCATCACGAACGGATATAATTAACGAGATGTATAAAAAAGAAATCACAATAACATAGTGTCAATGATAGTGAGGAAGCCTGAACATGACAAATATGGTAGGGAAAAGGACTATGAAAGGGCATGATTAAGATTGACTTTCAATGACTTCATGGACTGACTTCCTCCAGCTTTCTTCCATCCTACTTTTACACCAACAAACATCACTCGTTGAGGTAGTCGGTCGTTAGGCATGAGTAACATGTGTGTCCTAACTACCTCAGTCATTGAAGATGACAAGGTAATGGTCATTTATTGAAATGAAATAAACTCAACATTCAGGTAGCCTTTCAATGTCTACGGCTGTCTTATCAAAATCATATCATTTAGAATACCTTAATTGGTAATAAACGTTACAAATCATCTTGATAGATTTACAATTTATTTTCAATATATGGTTATTATGCATTGTATAGAATTTCGGTTTTTCACGGTCTTAGTTTAGTTTTAAATTTCCACCAAAGGTTGACGTCATTTAACTAATTACTCAACGTAAGGGAGTATTAAAAATCTATTTTACATGATACTGAAACTTTCCACTAATATATATTCATATATCTCAAGGTGAATAAACTCAATATCGTCAGGAGATATGGTGATGATTCTGAAATAGGATAA